GTCATTCTAGGCGTAACATTGTCAGGTCAAGCAATCATAGGAAATTTTCTGACTCTTCGCGAATTACAAATTATTTAATCTCTTTCTCGCGTTTACATACATTCTTTTTATCTTATTTTCAACTCTGCGTTCTAATCTACGGTCCTCGTTTAAGTCCTATCGTGGACCCTCAGCCTTGTCTAGCGTCAAATCTAGAGCTCAGTTTGTATATTCTTTATTTTTCTAATTATATTTAGCGCAAATGGAAAAGGGTTAAATGTAAAGGTCGATCGTCGAAGGGACGTCTTTAAAACTACATCCCGTTCGCTACGTTTCGACCTGGACACGTATTTGGGCCGAATCGAAGATACAGCGAAGGGAACGAGTTCAAACGAGTGTTCGTTGTAATACGTTCTACGTACGTCTTACTTTACCGGAATTTAGCGCGCGGGTAAAGTATCAGAAAATAAGCGACAGTCTGGTAGCGTGTTCGACGCGCGTTTTTTTTACGATGCACCGTTAAACTCACGCTCGAGCGGAATTTTCATCAGAAGAGTATCGTTTTGTCGAGATGTGTCCCTTAGGAAAGGATATTGCTGTTATAATTCCTTGAAAACGAAGATGCGTTTCTCTCATTTTTATATTTTCTCCACATTTTATATTGCATACATTTTCTAAAAAAATAAAAACGCAAGAACAAAAAAATTGATTAATTTTCATTAATAAAAGATAACTACACGAAAAACTTTAATATCGTATAAAAAAAGCGTAGTTTATCAAAGATACCAATAAAATATATTCAAATATTAAGCTACATCCCTGCTAATCGATTATTGTAAATAAATTATTATTAATTTTTATAGTGATTCAAAGATGTTTTTATTCTAAGTAAAAACATTCTAAATAAAAATATTTCGCAAGGATGTATGCGTGTACGTAAATGTTTTAAAATCGAGTTTGTCGTCAAATGGATCTTACATTCGCAAGTTTATCCTCAAGGAATTTTACGTGTGACTGAGTAATATATATTTTATTTCAAAAAGTTTTCTTTTTAAATGAATGTGGATATATATCGAGTACACATTTGCCACACGACGATACACTCTTGACTTTAACATCATATTCCGCATCACTTAAAAATATATAATTATACATATATATATATATACATATATATATATATATATATATATAGTTATATATTTATATATATTTATCTACAAAATTGTATGATATGGTTACACATTCTAAGTTGCTTAGCGCGACTACTTACGTTTTCTTAGGTCCTGTTCACTAAATCAAAAATTTGAATGATAAATTTTTCAGATAGATAAAAGAGTGATGTATATTCTATGTGTACTCTCTAAATTTTTCTTCATAATTACAATATATAATAATATTACTAATGATATACTTTAATAGTATTAAGAAAAATGAAGAAAATTGAAGAATTTAACGAGATAATAAAAAGATAATAAAATAATAATATTATACTAATAATATATACTTTAATAGTATGTGATGTAAAAACAATTTTACATTTCTCTCATAAAGAAGAATCAAGGAAGGATGAAAATAAAATAATCTATTGTTGGAATAAAATCGCAACTATAAGTTCAAGTATAATAACGAAACGACGAAAGAGTCCGTCGTTTAGCTTATTATTAGTACCTTTTTTCCGCTTTCACGTGTTTCTCTCGACGCCGATACGTCGTCCCTTACGATCGACAACAATTTCATCATCAGCGATCGCCACGAGGATCGTCCTCGCTTGCGTTTGCCAACCGAAAGCCCCTTTTAAAATGGTACACAACTTATTCCCTAATCGTATTGTAACAAATATTGCCTTGAATATATAAATTTTGTTTCTCTTATTTAAATTATCTCTCATTTTTACGTTAGATCTCTCGTTCTCTCCCTCTCTCTCTCTCCCTCTTTCTCTCTCTCTCTCTCTCTCTCTCTCTCTCTCACGGATAATGGACAAAACGGCGGATATATTCACGCATGTCAAGGGCGCGTATTTCGGCCCTTATTATCTTATGTTACGTAGGGCCGAGTCTCAAAGAGTCTATTATTTATTTAGTTTAGTAGTAGAGTCGTTTGGTTCGCATCGCGCAAAATTTGTTCGGAGATCTAAAACCATTCTTATAAAAACGTCCCTCGGCCCGACAAAATATTACCGAGGGACACTAATATATTGTGTGTCGTCGACTTCATTGTTCTTATGTGTTTTTTTTTGTGTTTCGATATATATAAAATTCTCAATTTTCGCGCAGTCCGCGATCTGATCAAAAGCGTACAAATGCCAATGTGACGCTCGCCGTGCGCGTATTTATGCACGGGAGCGTATGGGCACTGGTACGTGTCGTCTCGTCGCAACCTGAACACTACAGCTTGGAGGGAGGGGGCGGGGGAAATTCCTTTGTTTGTTTATTCGATCGGAGAAGCGGAGATGTAAATGGGAATAGTGAAAACAATTTAATTCTCTTAATTGATAGCAGTCTAAATGACTTTATTGTTAACGCTTAGAACCCGCGAAGCTTCGTGCAACGAAAATCATCGAAAAACACAATTAAAAGATTTTTACATTATTGTCCAATGTAAAAATTCCTGATATGAAAAACAATCATATCCGACTGTGGAAATAACTCTCATCCGGGGATTAAAATAATTGTTTTCTTATATATAAAATTTCTCTTTGTAAAAAATTGTATTGTTCCTTGTTTTCTTCAATTAAAATTATTAATTAAAAAGTATGTCAATTACTTTCTTTTATTACAAAATATAGCAAATTAAAGTTAAGAAATAAAGAAATTTCAAGACAGAATTAACAATTGTAATGTAACAAATTTAATTTATAGAGAATTTTAATTTATATTTATTTACAGATTCAATTTTGTGGCTCTGATGGAAATTTTTACGTTTTTTAATATATTAATAATATTTAATATATTAATATATTAATAATATATTAAGTATAATAATAATATTATTATTTAATAAATTAATAATATTAAGAAATAAATCAAAAAATCTATACTTGTAGAAATGAATTACCACGTTGTGACAAGCTTTTTATGTAAAAATTTTATACTAAAAATTTTAAACTTTATTCCTTTTTTCAGAATTTTTTAAATGACTATGCCACAGAAAATCATCATTTGCATTAGAAAACAACTTTATCCGGATGAGTGTTGTTGAAATGTAATATTAAAAAACTGAATATATATAAAGTAAACGATGAAAAAAATTGCGCGATGCTTGCTGCGGGCTGAGGATATTACGATGATAGAATAACGCGTTATCAATGACACTCAAAGCAGATGCTGCATTCTACAGCAAGTTGTTCAGTTTTCGAAAAACACGAATGATTCAGATCATCTTCTAAACACTCTCTTAAATTGTATCCTGTGTTTAATAAGTGGTCGCCAAGAAATCTCCGGTTCATTTTATTGGATCCCACAAAGTATGGTCGTCGAGGAGCACATGGCTCGGTTTCAGAATTAATGTCGTGCATCACGCACGCGAGCGCACGCGAATTTAAGATAAGTTGACCGTAAATATACGAGCGAACGAGCGAGCGAGAGAGCGTCTCGTCGCGGTCGTGAGACATCATATATACGTCCGGGCTTCGCGGAAGCAGCGCCCACCTGTCTGCTTCGCGAGCAACCACAACGGATTTCGCACTTTTCGCACTCTAGGTTTCAGAACCTGCAGTCTTCCGAGAAGATTGCCTCCGACGGTCTTCGATCTTCCAGCTGCCCCTCTTCTGAGAGATTCGACCTTCCTCGGATGATTCTTCTTCCGAAGAAGTTAGACCGTCTTCGAGCCATTCAGCTACTACCAAAAAGAATTTTACCTCATTCAACCTATCCATTTCCTGATAGTTTCTCATCTTCTTGCAGTCACTCGAAAAACGTGCCATCTCTTTCCAACGATTTCTTTTCTGATAGATCATGCTTTTAGATGTCTTCTGAGAGGAATCAAATTTCCTCGGACAGCTTTTCTTCTCAAGGAGATAGACTTCGATGTTTTTTTTTCTAAAATGGCTCCTTCAAGCCATTCCATCTTTTTCCATCTATCTCTCAGTTAATATAGTATTATTTTCCTTCACCTTCTAGGAAATCTCAACATTTTCTTTTTCTTTGCGATTCAATCTTTAAATCATCCATCTTATGAAATAGTTTCAGCCTTCTTCGAAATAGTTTTCATTTTTAAAAAAATTTTTCATCAGCCCACATCGTTGCCTTGAGAGTGAAATTTTAATGATGATTGTGTGCGCGTAGCTCCTCGCGAAGTGTACCGGTTTACTTCCAAGCCCTTGATATGTGTATGCGCACCGGAGATCATTGATCTCCGAGCAATATACAGAGTCTCCGGGAATGAAGCACGACATCGTTGCGAGGATTGTGAACCGCTGACTGAAAAATCCTCACGACTTCAGCACTAACGCCGCGATGCCGTCACCGATGTGTCATCGTACTTATCGCAATTGTGGTCGAATGCCGAATACCGTGTCTGACTCACGTTAACAATTGTCTTTCATGGGACACGGCACTATCACGGTGCCGAGTTACATATTACATCGGCAACTTTCCCAACTCTTCGACCGCGACGGCAAAGATCCCTATCTAGGCTAACATGTCCTAGATACGTGCACGAAATCCTTCTTTAGGAATAGACTCGCGGGAGAATCGACCAGTTTTTCTACCGATATGTCGCGTTCGATTGAAAATGAATATCGTTGCGATGTACGGTTTCTCTTTCACCGTCAAAGTCGACGTTTTCTCCCCCGTCTACGGAAGGTTCATCATTCTCATCCGATCTCGCTGGCGCGCGCGTTCGTCTCACCCGTCTGGATGGGCCCGTCACATCAGTAGGGCCAGAAGGTGGGCAATGGGGGTGGAGGCGGTGGAGGTACGGTCGGATAGAGGGTCGGGGTGGCTATGAGGAGACAGGTGGGCGGCGGTAGAGGTGGCGGTACGGGCGGTGGTGGCGGTAGGACCGGGGATAATGTTATTGTTGCGGCTGCGGGGTGCAGGGCCGTGCCCGCCGTCGCGGGGGCACACAACGGGTGCAGGGCGGCGAGTGAGGGGCGCTGGCGCTGACGCTGACGCTGCTGGCCCTGGACCTCGCCGTTCTATTCCGAGTCCTGCTGCATTTTGACGTGGCCATTACCGGCGGAATTGCTCGACGCGCTGCCGCTGCTGGGCGGGAAGCTCGTGGGTATGGTGCGCGACGACGAGAAGCAGAGTTTCATGATGTAGGGGAACTTGCCGTCTGAAACAGACGAGCGCGACAAAGGGGACCGGCGTTGTAATATTTCGCTGTCAAACTTGCTGGGAATTGTCGATCGATTAGGGTCACTTGTGTTGAACTATGTATCTTATTGGGTTTGACTATTTTCATAACGAGCAGGATTTTTTTTTAATGGGCCATTTGTTTTATTATATATATATTTCCATTTATTCGCTTTTATGATTTATTTTCTCTGTAAATTAATAACAAATTAAAATAAATCTATGTATATATTAAGCGCGATCAAGATTTATCCGATTTATTTTCAATGTTTTGATCAATTAATTTTCTCTGAGAATTTGTTAAATCTTGTTTACTCTTTTTAATATTAAATTATCGTATTAGAATATTTCGAAGAAATGCTCAAACTAGAAAATAGAAGGAACATTATCTTCTTGATACAGATAATCGTAAACTTGGATAAGGGACATGAAATCTAAATCCAAAATCGAATGAGAGAGCGATAAAATCACCGCTCGCAAAATATTATAATCTCATAAAATTCTCAGGACTGCTATCTGGAGAAATGCTGCGCGAGAAAAATCTGAGTTTTATGATCATACAAGTGATATCGTGATACTTACTGCTGTTCTCCAGTGCTGTGTGATTACATTCCATGATAGCGGCCACCGCGATACCAACGCTGCTAAATTCGATGAGACCAGATGACGATCGTTCAGATTTGAGAGGGAACAGCTTGATCGTCGTCGGTGCTTCAATGCCACGTTCTACGAATACGCGATTCACTGTTTCCTCGGTTAGATCAGGCGGGGTATTGAAGAAATGAACTATTTTTGACGGTGGCTGTATCCTGTTCTTATTAGCCATTGCGGGGTTCAGGAATCTGCAACGATATATCGAAAAATTGGGCACTGTAGACTTGAAAAAGAGCACAATTTCTAGAAACTATGTATATAAATTTCTTTTACCTAATTTTTAATCAATTTGAAATCCATTATTATAATGCTAGAACAAATAATATATAATATTTCATCTATCAATCATCTATCAATTTTATTTTGTTCCAAAATTATTAAAACTTGTGCGTTTTTTTGTTAATGTTATAGAAAAATTGATCTAGCTTACAGTTTTCAGAATTTTACAGTTTTTTGTAAAACAATATATTTCACGTCTTTTGTTAACAAATATTAAATAAGACAGAAATATATTCTATCGAAACTATCAATCATAAATTTTATCTATCAATTTTTTAAAGAAGAGAGTGAAAAATGCTTTTAATATTTTCGCTCAACATTTACAATATTATAGATATCTATCATCATTCTGTCAGAATTGCTCCGGTGAATTTTGATCGAGATATATCAATAGTATATTGAAGATGTATTTCTAGATTTAAAAACTAAAAGCGCGAACATTTTCATCATCTGAAAACACAGAAGAGCAATATTGGAAAAAAAGAATCAAAGCACATTTTTACTTCCTCTCTTTGCTTTGATGAAGCCTCAGGGGGAACATACTTATTTTCGAAGTAAAATTCCCATTTCATGACTTGTACAATATCGATATCTTATTTTCAACAGAAATGTCAGCTTACAGTCTAGTCCCTCAATTACGCGAACGAAAGCGGATTTCCGCATGGAAGAGGGACGTCGGGATGCTTCTGGTGCGCAGTTTATCTTTCACAAGCTTTAGGGAACTTCTTGTGATTAACTTCTCGCAATCAGAACTCGCGTTCGCGCCCAAGACGAAGCCATTCCCTGCGGGCGATTAGGTTTTTCGTCGAAGCAAAATACTCATTTCGCCGAGAGAGCACTTTTTACTCCCCTATCAAAAACATGCGTCACGTTTAGCGGTGTATTTCTTCGCTTTGTTAAATTATTCCTCCCGATAAATTATTCGGTTTGAATTTCGCAAAACAGTGTTTGAGTAAAATTTAAATTGACTTTTTCAGAATCATGTTAAATAAATGAAGCGTCGAGATTAACAATAAAGGGGAGAATTTTGGGAAGAAAAGAAAAATAAAGAAGAAGTTTAAAAAAACTTAAAAAATTCTAATTTAAAAGAATGTCTTACATTGTTATCTTCATTGCGATGCCATTCTTGTGCGAATAATAATTAAATTTTTTCAACAATAATGAATAATTACAATAATAATGCACAAGAAGCATATTTTTTGTTAATCTTGATTCAGTTTTGATGTAAGCGCGTCTTTAAGCTCTAGATTATTCTCGACGCTTCATATGTAAAAGCTAAAATTATATCTTTTGACACAATGGCATGATCTTCGCGTGATAAAAACTTCATTGGAGATTCATACGGAGAACGATTCTCTGCATTGTCTGCAGTTCTCTAGCGTAGTCGAAAGAGTCAGAACTTAATCGGCAAGCCGGATCATCAGACACGCCCTTTTGAGTAACTAAGGGACGACCAGCGGAGAGGTACCCTGGTCCAAACGCGAAATTGCAGTGGTGTCGTTAGTTCCTATTCAACCTTTAGATTTGATTCTTCCGCCCGGGTGCATCCGCTTTCCGAGCGTGACCAGACAAGGCCGCGACTCGAACTAAGTGGAAACTGCAGATTTTACAGCATTACGAAACGGAGAAATTTAAATCGTACTCGTTTACGCGTTTTCATTTAATTAGACTCTCGAGTTTAATCTCGTGGAGTGCCGTCGCAATCTGCCGGATCGCGCTGAACACGCCCCGCCTTATGTTACCTCCTCTTAAGATCCACATGAAAAATGATGATGAGGAATAGTCGATCAGATAAGATAGTATTATCAAGATCAGTTCTTCTAAGATCGACGATCTCGATGCCAAAGTTAGACATGTATCAATTTATTACACAAGTGTCTATCGATATATCTCATAAAAATAGAATCTTATATAAAAGAAAACAAAAGATGTTCCTATGCACACGATTTTGTTATCATATACAGAGTATTTCTAATAAGTGCGAAAAATTTTATTTTAGAAGATGATTTTTGGTCGAAAATTAAGAGGTAAAAATTAGGTTTTTATTTTTTTCTCAAATTTAGAACAAGTTAAAGAAATGAAATTAAGTGGATATTTTTTACTAGTAAAAAGGTTATTTATTAATATTATTTTCAGCCTCCCGTATTGTTGTAAGGGGATGAAATTAGCAATCCCTATTCAATTTTTTATTAGAACTTTCTAATATGCCGGAATATGATCATCTAAAAATATGAATTAAAAAGTTTGATTTATTTAGAAACGTTTTATTTCCTTTATTTTCTTCATAAAATCAGTAGTTTCAAGAAAAAAAAAAAAAAAAAAATAAAATATGTTATCGTGCACAGCATGATGCTAAATAGCATAGCTTTCGAATTAGAAGTTTAATTTTAAAATAAAAATAAAATTAGAGTAAATGTTGGGAAAATTTGAACAAAAACAAAATTATAATAAAAACTTAAAAATCCAAAAGATAAAAACTTAATTTTTTATCCTCATTTTTTGATTGTAATTCCACAGAGAGGGATATAGAAGTATATGTTTATATGAAAAACTTCCTTAATTTTCGACAAAGAATCATCTTCTAAAATTTTTCGCACTTATTAAGAAACACTCTATATAAAAAAATTTTTTTAAAATTAATTAGTTAAATATAATTTATTAGATTAGCAAAATTTAAAGATATTTATTAGATTAGCAAAATTTAAAGATATTTTCATTCACAAAAACTTTACAACTTTTACATTAAGCATAAAATTGTAACATATTGCTTCACGAGTTCTTTCTTTTTTTTTGTCACGTATGAGATAAAACGTGCGATTAAATGGCGAGGAAAGAACAGTTACCGTGAAAACTCAGAGAGCTGTACCTACGACGAGAATATCTACGTATGTATGATGTGTATGTATACATATACATGTGTATATATATATATATATATATATATATATATATATATATATCCTTATATATATCCTTTCCTCTCACGTATAGCGCGAGAGAATATCGCAAAGAATGAAAGAAAGATCAAGCGGAGATAAATGGCCTTCACGAGGGGAAGAACAAACTGAGCGAAAAATGACAAGAGAATAAAATGCGAAGAGTCGCTTGCAAGACTCACCTGTTATTCTTGCTTCCCGTGAAGTCCTTGAAGCTCGCTGTCTTGTCGGGTAGGATATAAGGATTGGTGACATCCGAAAGGAAGGCCTGTTTCGAGAAGCCGAGCTGCAACCTGCCGTCCGTCCCGATCGTGACGTTATTCAGGTTCTGTAAACACCGTTCGACGGCTATGCTGTCCCCCATCTGTATCATCGCGCATCCTTCCTTCGTTTTCAAGAATTTCACCTGCGATCAGAGAGCTTCAAGTTTATCGCTCGACGTTACGAAAAGTCCACGGTGCTCACGAAACTGCTCCTCTTCTCGAAATAACTCGCGATCGATGCTTCGTCGTCGCGATAATTTATATCGATTGTGTGTAAAGAATACCTGAATACCTGTGCGAAATTAGCCGAGTCGAATTTTTTCTCTTTTACTTTCCATCTCAATGTTCAATCTAACATTTACTTTGATACGTTTAGCAGTGAGATCACCCTATCTTAAAAACTATTTAATCTATAATTTTACCGAAAACTCCTCTTTTAAATCTCTAAAAATGTAGGAATCTACTTGAGATTCAAAAGAATTCAATATAATACAATTCTTATAAATGAAATCTTCAAAATCCTTCAGAAATATATATATATATAAATATATAAAATATATAAAATAAAATAAATAAATATATAAAAAAATAGAGATAAAAGATAAAGATTGAAAATAGAGGCAAAATTTCGACTCGAGATATTTCTTTCCATATTTCAAATCATTTTTAATTCGATATTTGATTAAACACGGTCTAATAAATGAACCATTTGTTGTTTTGCGAAATGTAAGGAATTTAGCCTTTATTAAATATAGATTAACACTCGAAAATCCGCTCTCTCTATTAAATACGGACTGCAAAATACACGAAGAGTCCTGTTAGTCCTTGTTAAACGCAAGTACATACATTAGGAACGTCGGCTATACCACCATGTTAACGGAATTCCTGCGTCACGGGGGATGATTAACTCATGCAAGCTCCCGTATATATGTGTGTGTGTGTGTGTGTGTGTGTGTGTGTGTGTGTGTGTGTGTGTGTGTGTGTGTGTGTGTGTGTGTAAGCACGCACACGCGAGCTCGGTTACATTTAACAAACATCTACGTCTAGGAAGAGATCCAGGGTCACACAACCTACCTTCGTCACGTTGCCGTACAAGCAGAACAGGTTGAAGAGCTTGTCGGTATTGACTTTGTCCGGTTGCAGGCCGTACACCATCATGACTGAGCCCTGCGTGCTCGAGGGTGGCGTTTGGCCCAGGGTGGGCACGTAACCCGGTCGAGGTGGCGTAGGATGTAATGGCTCGCGGCCGCTGAAATCGCTCTTAATACCGTAACGCTCGACATATGGCTCCGCATACGTCGCCGGTCCGTTGAAGTTCTCTTCGTAACGATCGTGACCGGCGCCCGGCGGAAAAGTGACCTGTGGCGTGGAGCCTGGAACCAGAGATGTACATACATTGTACGGACGTGTGAGACAAATGACGCGGGCAACACATTAGATAACTGGGCATTATTGTTGTTCGCTGCGAGAGTCTGTCGACCATGCTGATGGATATGCATAGCTGTTTGCGAAATCGGGGCATCGGCGAAGGAATTTAGCACAGTCGCAATAAATTGTCATATAACACAGACTCTCTCTCTCTGTTCAACGTTTGTAAATTATAAAGAAAGATTTTTATATTAAAACAGAATAAATAAATAAATGTATATATTTATTTATTTATTATATTTTTATTTTATATATTTATTAATTAATTAATATATATACATATTATTTGTACTATTTTAATCTAAATAATCTAAATTCATACACAGTATATATATACACTGAAATGAATATATATATTATTGGAAAAGTTAGCAAAAATGAATGTTTATACCATTTAATTTATGAATAATTAATTTAATTTCAATCTAATTTTATTTTTTTATATATATTGTATATTATATATTCTTTATCAAGTAATTATTAAATCATTATAATTTAATTATTAAACCATTAATTTCGTAAATGAGAAAAAATTTTGTGAGAAAATTTATATATTTTCCTAGAGAAATATTTCTAAACATTCAAAATAAAATTAAAATTTTTATCTGCGTTTCATACAAAAGTAAAACGAGTAAAATATAAAAACAGAGAAAATAGAAATAAAAACGATATAACGTGAAAGCGAACAATTCAACCCTTGGCCGAAGTAATACAAGCTGGCGAGACTCTATTGGAATGGTAATGCAATACTGTGTCGGCTCCATGTAGCCGAGTATTAAATGTTGCGACAAATGGTATCGATTAAAATGTCGGGGGTTATTGGGAAAAGTGAGTCCCGGTGGTGAATTACGATAATGTTTTCAACTATCGGATTATATCGCGCGCAACGAGACTCGAGTGGTTTCGCTTGCAGCCGCGTTACGTTACATTCGATTCAATGATTTTCTGTCAAAATTGCAATAGAATAAGGATCGCAGTTGACTTATGGCGATAATTTTAGACTGAGCTATATACCAGAAATTATTTTCCCGAAATCAATATTAGAGTAGAAGCGTTCAACAGCTTAGACGTGACATACATGAGACTGCTATTGCTCGCAATAATTCAAATATACGTCGATGCAACTCATGTGTCGCTTACATGACAATTCCATTTGATTTTACATTATTAAAACATCTTTGTGATATCTGAGTTTCCTCATTATAAAATGACGAATACTAAAAGTAGTTTACAACTAATAAAATAGCAGAAAAGAGAGAAAAAAAATTCTGTAAAAGTCTCTTGATTTTTGAATTTAAATTTTTTTCCAGAGACTAATTTTCTAATTTAAATACATGAGTTTGGAATAACTTATTAATATATGTAACATCCTTCTCTCTACAATTCTTTCTAATTCAAAGATTTTTTGCAAATTTTCGGAAATGTTTTCATGTAGAAATTTATTATATATTTTCTGATAAATATTATCAAGTACAATATTTTATTATTAAAATATATAAAGAGAGATTTTAGTTTTTTATTTTTTCGATTATTCTGTAACGTTTAGTATAAAATGTTTTACAAATATATATTTTAAAATATATAACGTTACGCAACATATAAAGTTTTCAGAATTTGCATGCTTGTTATGCATGCTATTTGCGTTGTAAGTAAAATTGTTTGTAATATTCTGCCGGGAAAACTTGATACGCATATTTGTACACTCGGTCTCTTATTAATATTTCGAAATATGTTATGAAATAACGAGCTCTCTCTATGCTTGTGTTTTTATAAGGGAAAAACTTTCTAATAAAATCTTTTTCCAATTAGAAATTTTCTTCCCATGAGAAATTTCACAGACGCAATATTCTACAAGTAACTTCAATGAATATTTTCCAGATGAAATTTACGAAGTAAATTTTCCTCTTCACGTTGCAAACAAATGCGCTCGACACACTTTCTCATTCAGAAAGCACCTAGAACATCGTTCCGCTTCGCACTTCGTCAGTTCCATTAATCCGTTCTCGTTTTTTACACGTGTTCACGGAAAACTTGCGATCGCCTGGCCCATCTATTTTCCAAACCGGTGAGCTTGATTTGACCATTAGGAATCGACCAACAGGATAGATGGACAGACGATCGAACGAATGGAGAGACGGAAGGAGAGAAAGACAAATACGGACAGACACTCACCGTATGGCTGGGGCGCAGCGCCATATCTTGGTTCGGCCAAAAGGGGAGCGGGTCTTCCATTTCCTGTCGCGTCGTTTTTGTGTGTGCTCGAGCCTGCAATAGAACGACAGTTCGTCGATGAGACTATAATAATCTACGAGTACATTGCGTTCCACACAGCCATCGCGGCATGAGATGAACGATATTACATATATTCTGCGTTCTTGGTAATTTCAATAAAAAACTTTTCCAATTTTAATATGGATTTCAGGCTATTTGCGCACACATTACTGATTCGTATTTCAAATTATGTTAAGAATTAATGAAAGATTAAAAATTTTATAGACGCAATGGCCAAAAATTTTGCGGCCATTTCGCTTAAGAAATTTCAATTATAATAATATAATTAATTCTTTATATAATATGTATATATATTTTTTTATATAATAAAGTATACATAATTTTTGCTTTTCGGGACTATACTGGTTTCGCTGTCTGTCGGGAAAAAGAATCAAGCGGTTTTGAAATACATTTAATGAATAAATAATATTATATTTAATCTCATATATTTTATTAATACGTTTCGTATTATATTTAATCTCATATATTTTATTAATACATTTCGTGCATCATAAAACGTATTATTATACGTGGTCTATGCGGTTGACGCGCTTGCCTTATTGTCATTCACATGACGACATTCGAGCAAGAAGATGAGAGCATGAATCGCTCCATCGTATTATCTCTCGAAATACTATCACGATAAATAATAAAGAATGTTAAATGTGAAATTCTTGAAGAGAAAATATATTCAAAAGTAAAATTAAAGTATATTCAAAAGAATCGAAGCATATATAGAAAAATGAGAATGCTAAATTACTCTGTTTTATTATGATAATTATAAGCGTTCTTTTTAAATCGATTACTATTTTACATTATTACGCACATAAGATGTATAAATATAAAATTAAAAATTTACGAAATGTAATATTCAAAATCACCTCTCTTCGCTAATTAATAGTGCGATAAATTTTGATCGAATATATCACGTTTTGAAATGCGTTTAATGAATAAAAATAGAGTCATATTTAATCGTATTTTAATAATTGTCAACCGCATGAAACTTCGGCGCTTGTTTCCTACGGCGTTCCTACAACGCGCTATTGTTTATAGCGCGCCATTGTTTACAGTGAGGTCTACGCCATTCATGCAGATGCCTTGTTGTCATTCGCGTGACGACACTCGAACAAGGAGGTAGCAGCATGAGCCGCTTCGTCATATTATCTCTCAAAATATCAGCGTGACAAGTACTAGGAGATGTCAAATGTGTGAACTTTCAACGAAGAGATTAAGATATATTCGAAGATAAAAATCAAAGCATATATATGTGTGTATATATATATATATATATATATATATATATATATATATCGGTTATATATATATCGGTTATATCGGTTATAACCGAAAAATAAATAGAGTCATATTTAATCACGTATTTTAATTGTCAATTGCTTAGAAAGAATTCAATAGCTTGTTCCCTACCGTACGGCGCGGTATTATTTAGTGAGACCTACGCAGACCTTGTTGTCATTCACGTGACAACACGCGAGCAAGAAAGTCGCAGCATGAGCTACGTTGTCATATCTCTCGAAATATCGCGACAAATATTAAGAACTTACTATAGTATTGACGCAGTTACCTTGAGGTCATTTACGCGGCGACACTCGAGCAAGAAGGCAGCGGTGTGAATCGTTATTTTATTTTATTGTATTATTTCGCGAAATATACCGTCGCAACAAGTATTAAGAGATATCAAATGCTTCACATTCTCAACGAAGAGATTAATTCTTAAGATATGCCATTGTTTTACTATTCGTGCGACTCGAATGAATAGGTAGCAGCGCGAATTATTTCGTGTGTATTTTACAAATATTAATTCTTGAAATACGATCAGAAGAAATATACTAGCATTTTCTATAAGAATATAATTAATAGCGATTATGATTATCAATTCGATTAATTAATTTCTATAATACTTTAATTCTTATAATTAATGTTTAATTGATAATTAGCTTTTTAACGAAACATTAACTTGACGTAAGAGATATCGCGTGATTAATTAAAAAAAATTTCGGCGTTATTCGTATCATTTTCTCGATCATTAAGGAAATATCGCGATATAAAACGGATAGATTTCAAATCAAATAATGTTATGTGACGCATTTAATTAATTAATACAGTTGCGTATTTAATATTTATATCATATGTATATTTTAATATACTTGTTAACCACGTAATTAATATTCGGCGTTATTATTATTATTTCGCCCAATACGTTTAAAATGTGTATTTTACATTATTCGATCCAAATATATCGCGAAAATAATCAAAAGAATAACGCTATTTTCAAATATTCTTGCTCGTTGTTCGTTTTTTGGAGTTTAATCATAGCATCCCTTTTTGCAAAATATCATGGAGTACATTTTTATTGAATACATACGAGATGCCTTTTATTTTCGATCGCGGAATTCGGGAGTGCCGTACAAAGTTTTGCGCGTTCGTTTTTAACAAAGTGCCGCGGATGTTAACTGTATTCGCAATCATTAACTGTATTTTCGTGAGTGAATATAGTGCGCGAGTGAACCTGAAAAGGAATTCTGACAGTCTGAGAGAAGGAGAAGGCATCAGGCGTCGCCGGAGCAACTTTGAGGTAAGCAATTTATATACTTTTTTTTATTATTTTTGTAAAATTGTTTATCTCCAAAAGTAATTTATTTTATATTATTATGTAATATAATTGAATTACGTATTAAATACATATAATTAAATACGTATTAAAAATTTTGGGCAGTATTTTATACATCTACAATTTAATACAACTTCGTTGCTGCGCATCGTGTACCGGTGAATTTTAATTATTTTTTACGTAAATCTCAATCTCTCTTTTTTGAAAGCTTTATATTTCTATAAAGGTTGCGTAAATATAATTTAATTAATAAATGTAATAAGAATAACAGATTCATATTTTAAAATTGTAATATTAAAAAATATTAAAATGTACTAATCGCGAATACGCTGCATAAATCAACTGCACATACAGATTTAAGATCTTAAATTATATTATATTGCATAATAATGAGAGAAAATTATTAGATAATAGAATGAAAATGACAGAAAATTGCGCTTAAAATAATCTAATTTAGATTTTAATCAAATTCTTGATGAGAGAGGCCGATACGATACGTATCTCATGTTCTCTGCGATTGGTAGGAAAGATAATAGTAGCAGAGCAAGACCTTGCATAAACCGTATTTGGTTCTTCATATATATTGCGCTATGCATTATTGGTTTATGCTAAACCGTGTTACATCTATATACACAAGATACATGCGTATATGTATTCTCAAATAGGCATGAATTTCCTTTTGGTATACTTACTCACATTATGGAGCATCTACTGTATGCATTGTACGCTTGTTGCTGCAACAAGCTATATCGTTTCATCCTCTATTTATCTATCTTACACTTTGAGTACGTATGTGTCTATGTGTCCTCTTCTGAATATTCGATATTCGCCGTGTCTTGAGCGATTGCAGTTAGAAACATCCATTCCATCTTCATTTGAAATTGAATTCCTTCTCTATCCTTCAAGTCGCATCAGCCACTTGATTGGTGCTCGCCGAGAAGGAAGCAATCGCTTTAATCCTGCTTGATCCCGGGATCGAGTCCGATACTGCTCTATTGTGGACGTACAGAATCCCGGCAGATTAATTGCTAATTAAGATCGGTACGCTAATGCCGCTGCCGCGTAGGATGTATAATGTTTGATTGAATTACGAAGCTTCAAAAATTAAAGATGCACGTCTCTCTTTTTAAAAATAGATTTGCAAGGTAAATGCCTTTTTAATAACAGATCGATATTTAAATAATATTTCGAGGTGGAAAATGGAATATTTGCTCGGAAATCTCACACTCGTGATGCAAATGTAAAGCTGCTGTCAACTATATCAATCATTTAAAATTAACATTTTCAAAATTATCATTTTCAAAATTATTATTTTTGCAAAATTGATAATGCTTATATTTGAAAATAGCTAGTTAAAAATAGCGATCTGTGTATCTCTAATTTTTATAAAACTGTAAGTGAAATAAAACGCTCCGATTTAATATTAAAATGATTCGATGATTTATGAAAATTGAAATGCAAATAATTTCGAGCCGTCCTAATTTGCGAGTTAATCATTTAATGTCAAAATGAAGACTGCTGGCACGGCTGGCGCGTGTTTTCCAATAACGGAATAGGACAAGCACGTTGGACCGTGTGCTCCACGACAAACTCGAGAAACAGCGCATCTGGTCCGGGCGTCGTCGAGATCCTCGCGACTCCATGAAACTCGATATTGGCACTTGTAGAAGTCGTGCAGGTCCGCGGAAATTGCGATTTCGGATACTGGCGGGATACTACGCGTCGCATCGCCCGGAGTTTCCGCCGATGGTTGTTTGTCTTGGCCCGGCTTCCCGGGACACGATTAACGAATTTACCGTTCAATGGCGAACGTGAAAATATCTTATCGACAGTTTGAAATTGGAACAGCTAAGACAGCTCGAGACATTTATGATTCTATTTGATTTATCTGGATAAAGTACGTTTTCTTCTATCTTTGGAAAAAAGATCTCTATATTTACCCGTTAGATTCTGTGCAAAATTTCTCTCTCTCTCTATCTCTCTCTTTCGCAAGTGTCAAGTTTGAGCGATGGACGTTCGGCCGTAAATTAATAATACCACCGTAGACGTTCACTGTCAAGTTAAATCAGTGCGTCGAGAATTTCAATCTCCAAAACAATCTCACAGCAATTCATAATCCTCCATTATTCTCGTAACCGAAATAAGACAGAGTCTATTCGCTCTCGTAAATTATTAATTATTAATATTAAATAATTCAACAATTATGCTTATAAGTTGTCGCTAAAAACCGGGTAAAATAATCTCTTCTTCTAAGTCTCACACTATCAGCAAATATATATTAAAACAAAATTAAATAAACAAATTAAATAATAAAAAAATAATTTCTAAAAACGTCCGCTTTTATAAATATTCGGTTTTTATTAAA